GGTGGGTCGATGCACTCGCGTCGACCCGAGACTTTGAAGATTGACATCTCCAAGTATAGGGGGGTCGAAGAAGACTCCCTCTTGAGATGGTTCGTCGAATTGGATGACGCCATAAGGGCGCGTCGCATCGATGACGGGGATATGCAAGTTGCATTTGCCCAGTCAAATCTGGCAGGACGTGCCAAGACTTGGGCACTGGGGCTCAAGTTGCACGACCCATATGCGTTTGGGTCGTTGGAAGTCTTCAAGTCGCGGCTCAGACACATGTTTGAACCGCCTAGAGCTGAGTTCAGGGCTCGAACCGAACTCTTGAAGCTCAAACAGGGTAAGCGTGATGTTCACGCTTACGCTCAACATATACGACATCTCACGAGTTGTATAAGTTCCAATCCGGTGGATGAACACACGTTGGTTCGGTGTTCATGCAGGGTCTTGCGGATGGTCCCGTCAAGACTCACCTGTTCCGGCTTGAACTAGATTCACTAGAACAAGCCATTTCCATTGCGGAGCAGGAAGACTTCAGTCTGAGACAGGCTCGCGCCAGCTCGACATCGTATCGTCAACCGAGACGATATGACAACGGAGGTCCAGAGCCGATGGAACTCTATTATGTAGAGAGCGAGAAGGCTCGCTCTACAGGCTACAAGAAGTTGCAGAGATGCAACAGATGTCAAAAGACAGGACACTACGCTTACGAGTGTAGTGCTCCTCGTCCAGTGTCTCGCGACACTGGGCGTAGTGACCGTCCACCCATGAGAAAGGGGCAGGGACGAGGGTCCGCTTTTAATGCAAAGACGCGACAACGGGATGGACCGTCAAAAAACGGACAGGATCAGTAGGTGCGGAGCACCCTACTGGTCCAGCAACGTCAAGAGAATTTGTAGGCCTCTTGATGAAGGTTGCTCCCAACACACAAACGTTGTGCGTTGCTGCTCTAGGTAATGAGGTCTCACTCATTACCTTGAAACTCGAAGTGACGAATAAGTTGTCCCTTCGAGCTCTAGTCGATTGTGGGGCGTCCAACAATTTTGTGCGACGCCAATCGCTAGAAGATGGTCACTTTAAGTTCAGTGAATGTGACACACCTCCTACCAGGATGACGGTACGTCTTGCGACAGGCGCATCCGTAACCGTCATGAAGCGTATAGTGAAGATCCACTATACGCTAGAAGATACCCAATATGACGATGACTTTATCGTATTGGATTTGGATGACAAATTTGATGTCATCCTTGGAATACCGTGGCTCAGGAGGTACGAACCACGAGTAAACTGGCAACATCGAACAGTAACGATGCATGCCGCTTGTTCATCAGATGGCCATCTGATGAACGTTTTGGAGCGTCCACAAGCGTGTGGATGTACTACGAGTGAGTGCGATGGCCTCACTTGTGGTACGGTCGTTAGTACGACTGCACAAAACCTTAGTGTACCAAACGGTTACACTTCGGAGCAAAGCTCCGGCGGCTGTGAGGAAACACAGGCTGCGCCGAAGGTCCACCACTCGAATAAGTCGGGTGGACTGGGACAAAGATGTATCCCCAGCGGGGAACATCTAGAAGAGAAACAATCGATCGCTCAGGTTAAGCGAAACGATAATCCTAGATCGACTGGAGAGTCTTTCGTAGAGGATCTCGCTGTGGTTGCGCAACCCCAGCTAGAAGAAGTAAAGGGAATAAGTCCCAATATTACAAATACGGCGGAAATAAGTTCCTTAAAACCCGCGGGAATAAGTCCCCGGGAAGCCGAAGGAATAAGTCCTTCGAAGCCTGAGGGAATAAGTCCCCAGGAAATGACAGAGACATTGAATGTCATAGTCAATAACGGATCAAGTGTAGGCGCTTATACACTTGATCTGATTGCGCCTCCGAAGTTAACTTCGGAGATCACTCAGTTGCCAACGCTCGAACGCAAAAGGTTCTTGCGTGATCTGCGTAGTGGCAAAGTCAAGCAGATCTGCGTACTCGTCGCTGACGACGAGTGTGTAACCGACATAAGGTCAGCAACAGTGTTCACTGAGAACGAGAGAGTTCTCAGTAGTTCATCTATGGACGAGAGTGTCCTAGATGAAAAGACACGAATTGAGCGATATGACTCCCAATCATGGGAATCGTTCAACACAAATTCTCTCTATGAAGATTTGGTTGAATTCAAGGATGTATTCCCTGAAACTGTTCCGTGCGAATTACCGAAGGATAAAGGTATTCGACACGAGGTCGAGCTTAAACCAGGCTCGAAGTACTGTGTCATGAAGCAGTGGCCACTGCCTCGTGAACAAGTACTTGCGATCGACAAGCTCTTTGCCGATCGTTTAGCTGCGGGCCATGTGAGGGAATCAACTTCCCCACATAGCTCTCCGACCTTCTGTGTGCGAAAAGCAACAGGAGGGTGGCGGATAGTGCACGCGTTCAACAAATTGAACGCTGCAACGGTACCGGCTCAGACGCCAATACCGAGGAAGGATGTAATCATTGATGGTATGTCAAAAAGTACCATCTTTTCGTCCATGGATTTGATGGATGGCTTCTACCAAATCCTTATGCGAGAATGGGATATACCCTATACCGCAGTTAGCACGCCTAGCGGCATGCTCTGGGAATGGCTAGTAATGCCACAAGGGCTCAGTAATGCCCCTGCCACGTTCAACAGATGTGTATCACATCTGTTGAGACCAGTACGAGAATTCGCGCCGAGTTATTTCGATGACGTGTTCATCCATAGTCGAGCTATGGATGGAAAGTCGGACGTTGAGGTTCACAGGTACCACGTCCGACAAGTTCTTACAATCATGCGAAAGCATCAATTGTATGCTAACCTCAAGAAGTGTATATTTGCAGCAAGCGAAATACCACTTCTTGGGTGCATCGTTGGTAAGAACGGTGTACGTCCTGATCCCGAAAAGATTAAGGCGATCACCGACTGGCCTGTGCCGGTCGATGTCAAAGGTCTTCGAAAATTCCTTGGGCTAGCGGCGTATTTGCATAAGTATTCACGCAATTACGCCGAGATGACTGTGCACCTCTCTCGTTTGTTGAAAAAGAACGAGAGGTGGTTATGGAACGCTAAATGTCAGCGCTCCTTTGAGGGTACCAAGCAGAGCTTGATACAATCTCCAGTCCTAGCAATAGCCGATCAGGACAGGCCATTTCATGTGGTCTGTGATGCCAGCGATTTCGCAATCGGCTGTGCATTAATGCAGTACGATCTTGAAGGCGTTGAACGCGTCGTCTGCTATCATTCGCGTCAGCTGCAACCAGCTGAGCGGAACTATCCAGTGCATGACAAGGAACTCCTTGCCATGAAGTATGCACTCGCGAAGTTCAGAGTCTATCTATTAGGAGATAGACCCTTCATTGTTTACACTGACCATGCGTCATTATGCACGGCAGTGAACAGCCCGCACCTTTCACAACGAATGGCGCGGTGGTTGTCATTCTTTGCGGAATACAACTTTACGGTCGAGTACAAACCAGGACGACTTAATGTCGTCGCTGATGCACTCTCACGTCGTCCCGACTTTGAAACAGTCGCGAAACCCAACAGTGAGACAGTCACTGTTGCGGTTATGACGTCCTCAGTCCCATCTACAACGTTGTATGATGATGTGAGGCGGGCATACGCCCAAGATGGTGAGATTGTGAAGTTGTTGACACATCTCTCCCAACCATCTCGAGAATCGTTGAAACGATTGTCGCCTGCGTATCGATCTGCATCAGATCGATACACTACTCGTAGCGGTTTACTGTATTATACAGCCGTTTCTGGTGATACACCACGTGTTGTCATTCCAGATGATACTGAACTGCGTTTGCGGATCATGTTCGAGTATCACGATGCTCCTATAGGAGGACATCGTGGCCGCGAGAAAACATATCTCACGGTAAGTCGAGACTTTTACTGGCCCCGCCAGTATCAGTTTGTGCGAAAGTATGTTCGCGCATGCGAAGTCTGTCAACGAGTGAAGTCAAGTCCTTCACTGCGTGCACCTTTACATCCTCTACCGGTTCCGGCTGAGTGCTGGGAATCCATCTCAATGGATTTCGTCTTCGGGTTACCCAAAGACGCACGCGGGAATACGGGTATTCTCGTATTTGTTGACAGATTCAGCAAAATGGTACACCTTGTGGCTGTACCAGAGACAATCACGGCAAGTGGCTGTGCTTGTGTCTTTATTGACACCATCTTCCGACTTCATGGGTTGCCCCGTGAACTCGTATCAGACAGAGATCCACGATTCACTGCTGATTTCTGGCGTTCCCATTTCAAATCAATCGGAACGCGCTTGAAGATGTCGACATCTGATCATCCAGAGTCAGATGGTCAGACGGAACGTGCCAATCGTGTCCTTGAAGAGATACTTCGAGGATACGTACACTCATTTAAGAGTTGGAGTGAGTTTTTGCCAATGGTAGAGTTTGCCATTAACAACTCGGTGCATGCGTCCACGACACATACACCGTTCTACGTGAATGGCTTGCGCCATCCGCGTGTACCCACCTTACTAGAGTGTAACTCTGGTTTAAGGGGGGGGGACTCGCGCGAGCAAAAAACGATTTGGTTCACGCTCATCACGCTCTGACGAAGAGGTCATTGCGTTTGATGCCGATATCGATAACATCGATATCGAAGAAGATGATGTCAGTGAGAGTGCGGAAGCCCTCACTGAAGAAGATGATGCCAGTAAGAGTGCGGAATCCCTCACTGAAGAAAAGATTGATGTTGCTGCAGTGCGCTCACAGCGCACTGAAGCTAACGAGTCATCAGATGAGCTCATACTGGCTCGTGAAACGGTAGTCCGTTTTGTGCAAGACTCCATCGCCGAAGCGGTGGATAAGCAAAAGCAAAACGCCGACAAGAATGGAAGGGCAAACACTCTTTTATTTAATAAAGGTGACTTAGTCCTACTGTCTACGGTTAATCTACCAAAGCATGTAGTGACTAACTTGGGTAGTAGTAAACTACTACCCACGTACATCGGCCCATTTCGTGTATTGCACCGCCTAGGCAATGCATACACGGTCGAGCTGCCACGTAAGATGCAGACGCATCCCACGTTTTACGTTTGTCAGCTTAAGCCGTACCATCAGTACGCTGTTTCTTCCGATGAAGAACGCCCTTGCGCTCAAGCATCTCGCAGAGAGCCTTGTGCTCCCGATGGGGTGGGCATCAACAAGGGTCTGGAGAGCAGCTATCTCATCCCGAGACCGATCAGCAATCCCACGAGCTACCCTTAGCTCGTCACGCAGAGATGTCAGAGATCTCTCGTTCTCAAGCTGAGCAAAGGCAAACTCAGCTCGATGCTTCGAGGCAGTGTCCGCCATTTGGAGACGCCTATTCCGCTCATGTTCGAGATCGTCGCGTAACCCTTGCGTTACGCGATCAAAGAAGCTCTCGGGAACACACGGATTCCTACGATCGTGTGGAGAGCGTCTTTCCTCCTCCTCCACCTCCATTAGAGGACTCTCGCGGTGTCCAGCGCTATCTAGTTGAGCAGCTGTTGAACCACCGCGACGTGAACGGACGTCGGACGAGTTATCTCGTCCGATGGCGCGGCTATCCCCCGTCCTGGGATTCTTGGGAGCCCCGCTCCCAACTGATGATCGACGTACTGGGTCTGGTTGAGCAGTGTGACGCGGCACATCCTGTGCTGTAGAAGGACCGCCAGAGAAAGTCTTCCCGTCACGACCGTAAAGGGATTTGAGGTTGTCAATCCCTTCGTACATCTTAGTAGAGATACGTACGCGCCACCACGGGCTATTAAAGAGGTAAGCCTCCTTAGGTGCTCGTGCAGAGTTGTTCACACAACATGGGCACGAGTCTCCCCAAGAGAGGCAGGGCAATCCTTTCTCCCTTGACAGACGATGCAGCTTGTAGCGTGCACCTGTCGGGGTTCGCTTTTCAAACTTATCACGAGCTTTGATAAGTTTGTAGTTCCAAGCGTCACGACCTACATCCTCGAGGTTATGGATGTAGGCGTTCCACGCCTGAAGCAGTGAGGGACCATCACGTTTGTGATTCCCACCGTACCATCGATGTCTAAAGAAAGCATCGATGAAGAATTCATTCTCAGCGCGATAGTTTTTCGCACTGGGGTCAAGGTGATGGATCCTTGACGAATCGAACAATCGTGTTCGATAACGATCACTCGTCGCCGCCGACAAGTGATCCATGACGGATTTAGGAGGCATCCATGCCTTCTTCTCAGAGCGAGACGCAACACATTGCGGTCCCGCTCTTCCTGCGACGTGCCGACAGAAGTACTGGCACCTCGCTGTGAAGTGGTGTCCATAGGAGAACTGACACCACTATTAGCGCCCGAGTCTCGCGACCTCGAGCGCCTTCGCTTCGGCGATGGTTCATCTGATTCATCAGATGAACCAAAGATGCTACGACGCAAAGCATCATCCATGCCACGCATGGCAGGCGGCTTAGATTCAATCGCCGTCGATACGGATCCGTCATCCGTATCAGGAAAGTATGAGACACCGAGCTCGTACTCTGTGAAGACACGAGTGTCTTCATGACCAGCGCCTGCATCACCAAGTGACACAGGCTGGGTCGCTTCAGCAACCGATGGGACATCAGTTGCTGTTGTTTCTGCTTCGGCGTCCGCACAGAGACGTGCAGACGCGCTCTCGGCGGCCTTGCTCGCGCATCGCATGGGCTTGTTTACCATGCGATGAAATGTTGGAAAGTGGACGCGGACCAACAAGTGCAAACCCTGTCCCAAATGATTTGGGACGAGTATCCATTTAGTCAATCAGTCACTAAAGTGACTGATGGTTAATGGGGGGTGATGTAACGGGGTGAATCGTTACATAACAATTTATAAGAAGTTGTTAATAGAATATAACTATAAGAGTTATATTCTCGGAATATTGTCATAAGGACAAATATTCTGTAGCACTTACGAGTTGTTCCTAATTGGTTGATATAGGCCATTATATCAACCAACGAAGACGCGCCACGACAGACGCACGCAATGAGTGGTGAGCAGATAACTGATTTACACATTTGTATTTAGACATAGTTAGATAAGGATAAATAGGGGGTTTATTACAGACATTAACTATTATAAATACAGTTCTACTTTTTACTCTAACCAAGTACTCGCTTCTTCTTACCGTCTTCCTCTGCACGTACCAGTGTACGTGAAGTTACGAGGCACCGCCTTATTCTGTCATCAGAATAAGTAGCTTGTACTGTCACCAATACAAGCTTCAGGGTGCCCCGTTACATATGCTCTCTTGTCGCGATTGCGCGTAGTTGGCGGACGCATGTAGCCCGAAAACAGGTCGTGGTGCTGGTGATGTCTTTCGTGAGTGACTGATAGACCGCGTCGTTCCGGTCAGCCCATAGCGTGATTTGACAGATCGTCGCCAGAATGTGCCGTATTCGCTTCCACATCCGTTCAGCCGCTTCCACATCCTCCTGAAATCGGCCCGCAAGGCGTGCCTTCCTGTATTCGGGTTTGCTGGAGACTTGTCTGCTGGCACACGCGCCAAAGTAGTGTTTGAGTACCTGGAGAGAAGGACGCTCCCCCGTACAGTCTCCGACCACCAGTCACAGAACAAGTGCGCTAAAGTCTCCACTCCACCCCTTCAGTACTCACCGTTGTACTTATAATGCAGCAGTGCGCAGAGTTGTTCAAAAATTGCAAGGCAGACGGCGCGTCAATTCACGACCACTATCGATTCTTAATAGCAGTCAAGAACGCTACTGGTGCATCCGACGTACTCACTCTTGATAAAATTGTTAAGCTCACATCCCAGAATATGGGACTGGTCCTTCCTGGACAGGTCAAGCCGTACCGCACTGACTACGCATTTACGATCCGGAGCTTGCGCAGTGGGCGCAAGAGAATGGTAAGGAACACATCAAGGACAAAGGCATTGGCACTTTGACCAAATTCATTAGTGACTCAGTTTCGAACGGCAAGACCGAGAGGGTGCATCATACCATCATGAGAAGCTCGCTTAAAAAGCGTGGTACATCCAGGTGTCGTCATCGGTCAGTACGAAGTAACAAAATGTTTCCGTGTGTCCGTCTCAGCACATGTCTAGGCCGTCACTATGCGTCACGTTAGAAACGTTCATACGTTTGACGCGAGTTCAAACGACGAGATGACACGTTTCTTGAGTGCCAATTCCGAGAAGGACCTTGTATGCATTGCTGGAGGCGGTAAAGCGTGGCCATAAGAGCGCGCTTTGACTCCCGATAATGATTCAGTCATCACAGTCCAACAATTGTAGAAACAGAAATGAAATTCGTGTGCACGGTACTTGCTGGCGCTGGTCACACACTGTTCAGCAAAAGATCAATCAGCCACAGTCCGCACAAAGAAGAAAGAGAGACTTCGAAAAAGCAAGGAGCTGGGACATGTTTCTAACCTAAAGTACAAAATAATGCGCCTATCTCGGGAGGGAGAAGGCGAACGCTTGCGTCTTCTGCATTGACGCAAGCGTTCGCCTTGCAAAAAAGGAAGACCAGATAACAGCAAAAGTTTTCTTAACATCATCTTGTCCCATACGCTCGTAGCCGCAAGATGCGCATTCCCCCTGCGCCAACTTTACCTTTGCGTTCACCAATGAAGGGAAGAATGCGTACTGGGGATACGTTTCGTCGAGCCTGCGCTCCTACTGCTGTATCGATAGCAGTGATGCGTTAAATAATTAACTACAGTGCACGATCGTCGGTTATTTGCTGAATCGAAATGCCGCTGGCCTGGGAGGGCGTCTGAAGGTGGAAGCTCTACAGATGCTTCATTTTGACGCGATGTTTAGAAAATGCCGGGGGTTTTTTCGCCGATGGCATGGCGTGGTTGCTGAGTGAGGTGAGGTCCAGCATCCGTTCCGTAGCATACTTTGACGACAGCTCATCATCGGTGCCGGCTACAACTGCGATGTCGTGTTTAGTGCACAGACCCGGCCCTACGAAGATAGCGTGCATCCATAGGTGCTACATGAACGTCACGAGTGTTTCAAGTAAGGCAATTAGTAGTGAAGTGGCTGTTTAGTAGTAGTGCGCTGGGTTTCTCGAACCGCTGGAGCTGAAGTGCAGGATGTTCCTGTGGGTCTGGACGTGACTGCCTATTCCACATTACTATCAGGCACTAGAAAGCCAAAATCGCTTCAGCCAGGACCACAATTCCGGACGCGGCGATGGTTTGTGGCACATTCCTAGTGGGTGTGGTTCGTCACTCCACTCTAGGGCAAAAAGTTTAGGACATGCATGTAACTCTGAGCCCCCTAAACCACTGTTTCGGCGCCTTTTTGCCCTCGCATAGTCGACGCGAAAAATTGCCGTACACTCGTAGTCCAGAATCATGCCGCACTGGCAGACGTCGTGGACTGCGCGCTTCGAGAAACGGCGTTGTGTCGCTCCCACTTTAACATGTTATGCAGATCGAGCTCATCAGGATCGCATCCGTCAACACACCTGTTCGCCCGCCGCGACATCATGTTGAAACCTCCCCAGCAGAAGAGACCGCTGGAGCGCCAGGATTACCGTAGCCCGACGGTTGGTACATTTGCACATTTAGCACCTAGGATTTACATGGCAAGTAGCGAAAGCGCCAGTCCAGTGTCTGACAAACTTGCTCCAGCACGCATGCGCGTTTGGGCTATCCCAATATATGTGTATCGAAGTTTCAGGCACGATGACACGCGTGTAATGCGGCGATTGCCCGTGATCAAACATTCTACACTTCAACGCCATGGCAGGAGACACCAGAGGAACCAGGCGTTGCTAACGTTGTGGAAGGACGACGTGCAGGAGAACATGATGGAGCAGAGCGAAGAGTACCGCCCAGTCTGTGAAATGTGTCGTCTTCTCGGCATTCTTCGGATCTTAAGGTAAACCTTACGCTCAAAAGACGAGAGACACTTCGGGCCACTCATTCTGCACGCAGTTGTTCTATGTCGACCTGAAGAGTGGATGCAGAAAGCGTGATCAGTAACAGCTAGATAACCACGAGCAAACAAACAAAGTGGCTCGAGTCGTCGTCCGGTGGAGTACGCTGGCCGTTAGTTAGCATCCATGTATTGTGATGTTGTGTGTTCCGGCTACGTACTATACAAGCTGACGTTCTTGAGTAATGACTTGTGGTGCTAAAGGCACGAATCGTGGCGCAAAACGTGCATTGTGGTGAACTCTAAGTCGATACGACAGTACTTGACCACTTCACTGAGTCTATTTGACCGACAATTAAATCGTGCGACAAGACGTCGGCAGCTCGATGGCCGAGCTGTTATATCGATGTGTAGCACCCGCCCAAAGCTAAATGCCACGGCCTCCTTTTGACTACAGAATGTAAACTCCAACTGTAAAAATGTCAGCGATTACATCAGTGACCCAGGGAAGTTTGCGCAACGATGGATCGACGATGTGGACAGTGGAGGGAAAGGCGTGAAGTGTAAAAAACTCGGCCATCTCTCGTTTATTTTGTAAAGACAGAATCGTGCGTAAACGTTACGGTCGCAGTCGGATGTTGGTCGGTCCTGAATATTTAGAGCGTGTATGGGCTGGGCATGTAAAAGCGCTGCTCTCTTGTGTGCACTAGAACCCCAAAACAACCACAGGAAATGTGGGCCTGACAAAAGCACATCGCGATGAAGACGAGAAAGGAGGAGTGAGTGCAGCTGTATCGATAGTTAGGATGCTAGCGAAAGATAGTTCGCATAGCGCGTACATGATGTAGAGTCGCAACACCATATGCTATAGCTGACACACGATGGCCCAACGTCGACGTACTTTCGTCTGTTGTGTGCTTTTCCATTTGATCGATCGATAGGCCCCACTGTCCCGTTATTACGAATACACAAGGAGATTACGGACAATGAGTTGGTGGAGCATTTGGCAGGAGAGCCAACAGTTGGACACCCACACCGTTCTTCTGGCTTTACTTCCCACGTAAGTCCACCCGCTCTTTTTCGTCTGCTCGTCTTCATTATAGATAGCGCATCCCGACCTCCGTATCTAAAGCAATACACAAAGCGGTTGTTGTGCTCTCGCTCTCTGGAACATTCACCTCTTGACATAACGAGCGCACGTCGCGTCGTCTCCGCAGCAAGTTCATGAGCCTTTTCAGGATTAGAACTGCGGGATCGAATAGCTGAACCTGGTTCGAGGAACTCCAGGTGCTGTTCGTGACACCTCATTCTCCAATTTGACGCCTCTCACAACTGCCTGCAACCCACCTTCACGACCTATACCAACCTCACCACCACGGAGCATGCGTCTGCTATACTTCGAAGTGGTCGCGCTGGCCGCTGCTTTCGCTTCGAGCGATGCGGTCCTGACTGCCGTCGACCCGGAGCCTCATCTCGAGTCTGACGTCACTCTCGTGCTTCGTGAGACGGATGAATCCGTCATCGAAGCAAGCGGGGCGAGATTGTTGAGGGCCGCTGATACTGTAGGCGGCCTTCCTCCCATAATGGCTACGGAGGACGAGCTGAAGGACGAGCAGAAGGAGGAGGAGAGAGGTGGTGGTGGTGTGGCCATGGAAGAAGCCGGAAAGCTCTTCAATGTTGCGGCACGAAAAATCAAGAGCGAGACGCTAACAAACTCAGCGAAAAACATTAAAGCGAAAGTGGATGCAATCGCTACGAAGCAAAGCCAGAATTTGGCGAACATTCAGTTGCGGCTGCTGAAAAAAGTCCTTCCGCTCGTGCCAAAAAAGATGAGCTCTTAACTCGAGGGTCGCATAGCGACGCTCGAAAAACAGGTGAAGAATTTCCCGAAAACGGAGGAGATCAAGCCTCCACCAAGTATCGCAGCCATCGACACGGCTGTTCCCCAGACTTATGTCCAGGCTGCAACAACGAATCTTGCTAAGTTGGTTGGTCGAGCCAAGGCCGATGTGGATGCTGCCTACAAAGGACTTGCCGAGACCGCATCTAAAGGGATTGCTGAGGCCCCAACTTATGCGAGGGGCTTTGTTAGTGCAGCCCACAAGCAAGTTGCCGACGTTGCAACCATAGCTCTTGCTTCCATCCCGACTCGTCCTAGGGCCGCAGTTGCTGCTGCCTATGACGTTGTTTCCAGTACAGCACGTGGAGCAATTGCTGCCACCCCGACCCGTGCCAAGGACATAGTTGCGAGTACCTACAATGGGTTTTCCAACCTCGCGGCTGCTGCCAAGGAAAGAATGCCTAACAATCCCCTCCCTGCTAGTTTTACGGATAAACTTCGTTCAATGGTGAATCTCGGAAAGTCAAAGGCTCCTGCTGAGAAGCCCCTTGGTCCTACTAAAGAGCCCATTAAAATTGCATAGAGGCCCATTTCTGAGAACCCCTCGGACTGCTCCTGCCGCTTGATCCGTCCAATCTCCTCGGCATTGACACGATAACGATGGACTTGATGTGTTCCTGCCATCGTCTTGTACCGCGTGCAACTTCAAGTACGTGCTACGACGTCGAACACAGTCAATCGGGCGAGGGACTGCAGTACGTGAGGTGTCACGTCGATTGACATTCATATTGTGTAGTTTGCACTTGATAAAGATGCGAAATGATTGTTGTTTGCCATCATGTGTCCCGTGCCTGACAATGTAAAGGAAGTACGATTGCGTCTCATTTCCAGCGTTGACGCTGCCGCAGCCTTTAACGCCACTGCGTGGGATGTCACCAACCAAGGTTTGTCTTTGCCAGTTTAACTCATTGTCAAGGCGCAGCATCTTGCCTGTAACGATCTCACACGCAGTCAGGTACCTGGTACCCTGTGTCTTATACACACGGATGACATCGCACTGAAAGAGATACAGAATATCTTGTCGGTTTATAGAGGCCGACTGGTGTCAGCCACCGGATAGGAGAGATCTTAGTTGTACTAACTTAGGACATAAGTGTCTAGATTAGGATTAAGGTATTCTTTAGGTGTAAATGTAAATAAAATTCAGTTCCCCTTTTGATCTTAAAGACACGTGCCTTGCGAGGCGTCTTTGGTCGTTGATCACTGATCACTTAGAGTTAGCGACACCTCCCTGAGGTAGCTAGTTACTCTTGAGCACTAAGCGCTGTCGATTCATAAAATCGTTTGGCCCCCTGGAACAAGGACCTCAAGCTTTACGCTTGTAGACCCATTGAGTCTAGATCGCTAGAACTAAGTTGCTCGTTGAACGTCAAGTCTTCCTCTGACTAAGGAGCTGTGTAACTCCGCTATACTTGGTAGCACTCGTAGTCAATCTACGCCTGATTCTATATGGCTGATCCTCTGTAAGGACCGAAAATCCCTCTCCCCTCTCTGAGGCCAAAATGTCGCGCTTGATTAGCTGACCGCATGTTTAGGTCCAAAGTACGCGGAATTCCTTATTTCACAATGCCCTGAGGTGCTCAATGCACGTGTTGAAAGCTTCGTGCAGTATGAAGCGACCTTTCTAGGGCAGGTCCAAGACCAATTAGCGTCCGCTGTGCCTGCACGCTATGTGTCTGTACAAGACGAAGAGGCTGGTCCTCGTCCACTTAAAGTGGAGGTGAAGAACTACTCTGGTAAGGAGGGTGAAGACCTCATCCTCTGCATCCGTGAGATTGAGATGGCCATAAAATCAGGCCTGATCACGCTTGACCATCAACAGGTCTCGCTGGCTATCTCGAAGCTCGATGGAAGAGCTAGAGAATGGGCCCTGACATGTAGCACGTCGGTGGACTTAGCATTCCCCACATGGGAGTCGCTCAAGTCACAATTGGTAACAGGTGTTATCACCACCTAACCAAGCTTACCGCGTGCGTGCATGCTCTCTTTCTACCCTCCAGGGTAAGAATGAGTTATCGGACTATGTCCAAGAGTTAAGAACTCTCATGGCTGCAATGCAGCCTGACTCTCTGTCTGAGACAGTTTGTGTGACTATCTTCATGGAAAGTCTCCATACTGACGTTCCCGGAACCAAAGTCATCTGTATTCTCCCGTCTACATTCGAAGAAGCTGTGATAATTGCTCGTAATGCTGAGCATAACTTCAAGTCAGCCAGACTTTGGGGTACAACCCTAGCTCTGCGAGAGCAAACTCCACGAGTGGTCCGTCCTTTGATAGGCCGGAATTGATGGGAGTCAGCTATGCTGAAGACGAAGGTGAAGTTGAACTTCAAGCTGCTGAGCAACAACGCGTCGTGCGACGATGTTTTACGTGCGGAAGCACTAAACGATTGCGGCCTGGTTGCCATTTGTGTAAACAGCGTCAGGCTACAAGTCAACACTCAACCCCGAGGCAGAAGTCCGGAATGGCACGGGGAATTGCTGACGCTTAGTAGGCGCTAGGCGCCCTACTGGGGAAGAACTAGGTTCTGTTGCACCTTTAGAAGGTAAAGGAAGGCAGGGATTATCCCCAAAGCGTACCATACCTACTGGGTTGACATAAGTCTGGATTGTTAGTGGCCGAGGTGAAAATTAAGGGCTTTGAGAGGCCTTGGTCGATCTTGATCGACTCTGGACCGTCTTGCAATTATGCTCGACGTCGTACCCTTATATGGATTCAGCGTTATGCTGAAGCGCTAACAGCGCATGAGGGCTATCACGGTTCGTTTAGCGACCGGAAGTCGTGTTACTGTGACTAAAGTTCCATAGGACTTAGGTAAACAGTTTTTAGACTTTGACAGTATTGAACGCTGTCCTTAAATTGGACTCGAGATGTGTTCTCATCTTTGGTATGGCTTGGCTTGAACGCCATGGGCCACGAGTTGATTAAAGATATAAGACCTTAGGCACCACGCGCAACGTTCCTTGCAAAGTATTGGAGAACTCACCATCGCTAGGCAGCAGAAGCACTACTAGTGCGAGCCTTTGACAGAAGATGTCGATATGCAAGACATTGGAATGTCTGAGTTGTCTAACTCCATTGTTGTAAACATAGATTCCGAGCGTAGCTTATTAAATAACGGTGATACAGCACGTACTCCGTTGAGTGTTACTCGTTGTGATAACGAGTCACTGTATGCTGAAAGCATGGTTGGCCTAGGGCCGAGTAATCTAGGATGTGATTCCTTTGATGTGTTTGTGGTGGCACGTGAAACTACACCGAGTGCGGTCGGCCGTGAGGGCCCCGCACTTAATGTCGGTAAAGAAATTGTTGGCCATATGTTATTTTGTGTGGGCGGCCGTGAAGGCACCACACCTAATGTCAGTAATCATTTTGTTGGTGACACGCCATTTAGTGTGGGCGTCCGTGAAGGCACTTCGCATAACGTCGGTAATGGCGTTGTTGGCGATACGCCGTATAGTGTAAGCGGCCGTGAGAGCACCACACCTAATGTCGGTAATGACATTGTTGACGAGACGCCGTTAAATTTAGGGCTAGACCCGCATAATATACGTGGAGTGGCACGTTTTAATTCACTGGGTGAAGTGTTTGAGTTATGTAACACTTCACCGGATGTCGGTCAAGACATAAGCTCTCGTATAGAGCGTACTATGGTTGATAGTAACCACGGGGACAATATTTTCCCGACCCCTAAGTAGTGTAAGGTCTCGAAGAGACGATCGAGACGCCGGGTAACACCTGTTAAGCGCCAGGCGTCCACACAGTCACTGGGTGACAACAGTGATAAACTAAATACACTTGTGAATGGAGTGAATGGTCAGGTTAATGGCAGTGTTTGCCTTGAAACCCTTCCATCTTTGGACGCTCTTTGTGAGCTAGACGAAATGTCTGATGGAGAGTTTATCCAGGCCTTACAGGCAGGAGCGTTATCCGAAATAGCTGTCATTAGACCTGATACTGAGTTGAACTCTTCCTCATTAATGGATGAGTCTGTTTAGAAGACACAAAGGCGGCACTTAGTGCACGAAGTGGATATTCGATTCTTAAAGATCCTTTGGACCCTTTTTATCCTTTGGTTAAGAAATTTCAAGATGTGGTGTGTCACAATCCACCATCCGTCTTACCACCTGCTAGAAATGTGCGATATGAAGTTTCCTTAGTTCCAGAAACTAAATACTGCGTAACACGGCAGTGGCCTTTGCCTAAAGAACAGTGTGACGTCATTGACGATTTCTTTCGTGCTAAGCACGCTGCTGGTATGTTCCGTGAGAGAAAGTCTCCGCACTCGACACCGCCATTTTGTGTCAAGAAGCCAAATGGCAAGTGGCGCATTGTGCATGCTTATAAAAGTTTAATGCAGCTACTGTACCGGCGCAGACGCCACTTTCTCACATTTTGTTCTTTAGAACAATTTGATAGTGTGTACATTGTACAGTGCACTCGACTTTGTTGATATTTGTACCAGCTGCTCATGTGAGAGAGTGATATCCCGCAAACAGCGGTGAGTACATCGACCAAGATGCTCTGGGAGTGACTCGTTATGCCACAAAGGTTGTCCAACACCCCGGCTACTTTTAATCGTCTGATGACGCAATTGTTTAGACCTCATCGAGGTTACGCGCAAACGTATTTTGACGACATCTTTGTCCATTGTCGTGCAACGAATGTTCGATTATTTGTGGAGAACACATTGATCATTTGCGCACGGTGCTCGAGTGCATGCGCATGAATAAATTTTACGTTAATGCATCTTTGGTGCAGAAGATGTTCCCTTTCTAGAGTGCTTCGTCGGGAAGCGAGGACTTCGAGCGGACCCCGCTAAGCCAGAAGCCAGAGTCAATTTGTCGGTCCTTAAGAACCAAAATGGCTTACGCAATAGCTTGGCCTCGCCAATTACTTGCATAAAGCGTAGTGCAAATTACGCAGATATGGCTAGGCCCTTATCCAATCTCCAGAAAAAAATGTGTGGATTTGTGTTGTGGCAACATCGATCACGATGCTTTTTAAGCGGTGAAGGAGAGTCTCCTTCATGCACCAACATTGTCTTTGCCCGACCCTGATCAGACCTTCAGTGTCGTCTTTGACGCATCTGACTTTGACGTTGGCAGTGCTCTGCTACAAACAGATGTTGATGGACATGAGCGCGTCATCGTGTTTAAGTCTCTCCAGCTGAAAGCTGCTGAAAAGAACTATTCAGTTCATGAAAAAGAGCCATTCGCTATGAAGTACGCTATGGTCAAATTCAGAGTACGTCTGCTTGGCTCCAAGCCGTTTGTGATCTTTAGAGATCATGCATCATTGCGCACTGCGACACAGTCGCCGCATCTCTCTCCGATGATGGCTCGTTGGATTTCCTTCTTTGCACAATATAACTTCGAAGTGAATTACAAGTCAAGACAGCAAAACGCTTTGGCTTACGCGCTATCGCGCCAACCTGACAATGAGCTTGCTCATGTTGCGACACTATCGTCTCAGTCCCTGACTTAATCCGCGCGGCTTAAGCCAAGGACGAACAGTGTGTAG